TTGTACAGGTGGCCATATTATACTGGTGGCCGTCATAGCAGGTTCGACTATATTTCAAGTTTTCCATTGGTATTCCTAAACATTTCAAGTTTCCCCTGATATTCCTAAATATTTCAAGTTTCCCCCTGATATTCCTAAATATTTCATTTTCCACTGATATTCCTAAGTATTTCATTTTCCACTGATATTCCTAAATATTTCAAGTTTTCCGGTGATATTCCTAAATATTTCAAGTTTTCCACTGATATTCCTAAGTATTTCATTTTCCACTGATATTCCTTTATATTTCAAGTTTTCCACTGACATTCTTCTATTTTCGTGTAGGTGAAGAGCAACGTGCTGTTGTCCAAAGCCAACTTCGAGGATGATTTCTTGCAGAGCAACAACCTGCACCAGTGGCTGGAGCGCCACAATCAGGTAGGTTCTGTCGTTTCAGTCAGGTTTTTGGAATAGATAGTACATTATTTTGTTACAGGTCCACTTTTTCTGCTGGATTTTTGTAAAGCCATTGTGGTCCCATTTTCCCGAATTCATGCCAGCCTGAGTTCTCTCAGTGACCCCACTTTTTTGTTACAGTCTTTTGCAGTTTTACTTTGAGGCTTGATTTTGTTTCTTTGAAATTAGTACATTTTACATGAGAGACTTATTGGGTTTAAAAAGATTTTTTTTTTAAAGTTACTGATGTTGATACGAGATTACTCAAGCCCTTAAGCAGTAACAGTACAAGAGGAGGGAAAATTTATAAATGTTTTGTCTCTGAAATTTGATGTCATTTGACAGTAGTAACAGCATTGTTAAAATAATTCAAAAGGAGTAGATACAGATGATAACAGTGAGAGCGGGTTGTTTTGGTTTTTTTAAATGCTGGTACATATCAAGAGTTCAAAGTTTCAAAGTTTGTTATTGCTGAATATATGGCTTAGAAAATGAGCACTGGTGGGTTTGATATCCTTCCAAATATAATCTGAACTTACAAACAGACTTGTCGGATAATTGTAAACCCGGCTTCGTGTTTTAAGCTGTTGCATTTAAATTTCTTGCTCTTTCAGGACAAAGCATCTATTTTCCGTCTTTTTGATGAAGACACCAATGGAACTCTGGATCCTAAGGAGATTGGGAAGCTTAATGCTACAATGTTCCATGTTTTTCCCCGATTTGGCTACAAAGGAATAGAGCAACCAGGTTGGCCCAGAAATTATATTTCAAATAAATAAAGTTATAATTTTACATATTAATGTGTCTTTATCTGGTGTATTATCATATCAATATGAACCCACCTTAAAGCAGGGAAGACTCACATAAATTTTTATTTTGCTGTATTTGTTTATTGATATTCTTAAAACTACAGAAGTAAAAGAGAACTCTTGAGCTAAACTTTCTTTTGTTTTGTTATGATTGTGCATTGGTGATGGTCTTGTTTATTTTTACTGATTGATGCAAGACTAAAAACATGTTATGGGGAATTCTTGGCTCATATCTAGATACTGTTCCTAATGATTTACTACTATGCTTTCAAGACGTATTATTGAGTTGTAGTTTGTGGCATGATACGTTTGCCTGGAAGCTGTGCAGGACAATTGTGACAATAGTAAGTTAGTAAGTTTATTAACTCATTCGCTACGTATTATTTTCGGCTTGTGGACGAATT